ACCGTTGTGTGACAACCGCTCATCAGGGTTGAATTGCAAGTTTAATTGGTTCACCCAAATGGATATTGATAACAAACGGCGATTGCATAAAAAATAAATCATGGCTGCTAGAAAAAATTTTAGTTACTTTTTTAGCCAGATTACTCTTTTAATGCGAACGAGTAATTATATTATATTTGTTTCTAAATTGACCTTTTTATCATGATCACTTTACCCCAAATGTTGGCGACAATTACATAATGTTGATAGACTGTTACATATTGATGGTAACTCCGCTCAAGATTTGCCTTTAGATTTTCATTGCATGCTCTTTTAATAGGGAAAATATAAGTCTTCACATAAAATTTACATTAGATATTACTTTTGGTTCCAATTCATACCCTCTTTTTATTGACATTGGACCAAACCTCAAACTCTAATGGACATAAACAATTAGCAGTTTAAATACTAAAGCAGATCAACCACCCAAATTTATCTAACAAAAGCTACAGTAACCCCGAACCAATAGAGGTAATAAAAAATTGTTGTTAAGTTCCTTTGACAATAACAGCAGCAATTTTTCGTAACTGGTTAGTAACTCCACATAACACTATTCGAATATCTGGAACTACCTCTTTAACGCTTTGTACGTAAACACTGCTACAACTTTCAGTCCATAGTTGCTAGTTTATATCTGAGAGTAGCCACATATTAACTGCCACCTGTGTGAACCATTCCGATCAACACAACCATTATTTCATCCTCTCACCCCATATTCTCTAATCATATGCGCCAAAGGAGTTTTACATGGTTCAGATGTTTTCATCTAGCAATGTTGGTGGTGGATCTAATGAGTTAAGGTACCAATATCGGTACTGTAACTGTGGGAAAAGGGCTAACCTGAAGATCGTGAAGTCTGAGAAACCAACGAAGGGCTTGTTGTACTTCGTCTGTGAGGCAAAAACATGCTCTTTTTTCGCCTGGGCTCATCCAATACGGAGGGATGATGAGCTTGTTCAAACTAACTATTACCCCACCTCACGTAATCGACAAGAAATAAGTAGAGAAAGCTCGTTCGACAGTCCCGCAACAGTGCTCCATCAATCAAACACCGTCTCGCAGCCTGTGCAACGCATCCAGAGTGACATTCATCAAATGAAAACCTTCTTGACGATTTCGGTTTTGATCGCCCTGCTGCTGCTAATAATAGCCATTTTTCACTGACCCCACGTTAGTATGACTGGAAGACATATGAAGCGGACTTCGCTGGTTGAGTGTCGTAGATGTAAGCTCATTCTCACTGTCTGTGACTTTTGAGTGTATTGTTCAATGAAAACACACATATTTTTTTTTTATCCAAGTTAAATGGAAACTAGTAAGTGTGAAAACCTTACATCTGAATTCACTTGCGCTACTCAATTGTTCTGTGTTAATGACATCAGTAAGCCTGCCACTATTAAGTTTATTGAGCTAAACGAAATTGTATGGTTACCTTAATACACGAACTTGATATTTCATAGTGGAACTACAACAACTCATTATATTTTGATCAACACCAAAGTGCATATCTAGTCATAAATCGTGCGTTCTTACTTACAATTTTTGTTCGTTCTTATTTACAACAATGAAAAGTAATTAAGTCTCAGGAACAACCCTTACTGCAAATTAGTTGACAATTATTGGATGAAAAGGACGTTCCTAAGGCCGGACAGAGCATTGAAAGGTTGAATCATAAACTAACCAAGGGCATAGAGTGTAACCAAGGGCAAAATGTTGATGTACAGGTCCTTTCAGGATAAAAGCTGCAAAAAATTGTGCTAAAACCTGTAACTAATTAGCAATAGCACGTAACACGTAGCAAGACTCTCGGTACTACAAATTTGACGCTTTGTTCGTAAGGAATCTTAACTGATATGGTTCAGGCACTGCATGTGAGTCTACAGTCTCTTCTCCCGTGATGTACTAGTTGGCCTCATATGCGTTCGGGAAGATCTCACTATTTTAATGAGATATTCGAGAAGGCCTCGTTACGCAATATTTTTGGGGTTCGAAATGATCATCGTAACTATTCTCAAAAAACACTTAATAAAATGTCTAAGAAATTTAATGTGTCAGTGGGAGGAATTATCGTTTCTGCCAAGGGCAATAGCACAAACAAGAGAAGAGGTAAGGTTCATCAAATATTAACTAGTTGTATTATCACTAGTTGTCACATCGGGAAATATCTAGTTGGAATATTATTCAATTTTAAATAGAGCAGACGAAAAGCTACTGACTGCAAATTCATTAGTTATAATGAATTGTAACATACACCTAACTGGTTGTAACGCAATTCATACATAGTGAAATGTACATGTCACTGATGTGTAACTCTTTATCCACGTGACCCTTAATATTGGTGTACAGGTCATTTCATGATAAAAGCTGCATAATTTATTTTATTATCTGAACAAATTTGACACAGTTCAATGGCATGCATCGAACTCTATAGCCTCCACTGTCATGACAAAATTGTTTGGCCTGAAATGCGTTGTCCAGTGATATTTTAGCACATTGTGAGGGTCCTGCGGACTATAAAAGGGCGCGGTTGCAGTAGTATATCCCTCAACAACAAAAATTTTTCCGTCCACCTTTCATTACTACACAAACATTTTTCATTTTAAATAACTTCACACTTTCCATTTCATTCTACGAAAGGGTGGCAATGAACCCGTGCCTGAAATTTATTATTAGTATTCTTTAACCCTCATCTAACTTCACACTTGTTGTATTTTAAATATTAGTTACCTTACTTTCAAATTATTTATCCCAACGAAATATCATGTTCTTCTGCGAAACTGTTACTTATTATGTGTCATGTGGAACCAGGCCGAGCTGTCAATTGTAACTTCATTTCTGTACTGAAAGAGTAATACCTATTGAAGTGCCTGTAATACTATCTGTAATACTCATCGTTAATACAATTGTAAATAAATTGTCGAAGTTTTAACATACAGGCAAATGACAAGCTGCCTGTACAAGCACATCAATAAACGGTAACAGCTTATTAACTTCTTGTAACGTACATATGCTGGTTGTAACTTCTTGTTATATTTGAAAAGTAAGATGACTGACGTATAACTGGGTATTCACCTGACCTAATTGTTGTTGGAGCACAGGTCATGATCCAATCGAATTGAACCATTATTTCATCCATACATTATACATTTGACCAAACGTTCAGTCTATTCTCTCGTTAATAGATGGTTGCCATGCCTTCATCTACTCACCCAGGAGTACTATCCCGTGGAGAACAACATGAAATGACACAGCAAGCAGTTGGTCAAGTTGCCAGAAGAAACCATTTACTATGCATGGTTTGAAACAGGTGCTCCGTTAAAAATTTCTACCTCTTTTTTTCTCTCACCTAATTCTTTATCAGTAGATCCTTCCTTTTATCCAACCAAAAAACTGTAGGTATTTGCATAGTCATGCAATCCACAAACGAAGGATCTCATACAAGTTCACCATCAAATGCTCGGCATAAAAGACGGAAAGTATCGTTGGGTCCAACAAATGCCATAAGCAAGACGAAACACCAGACGGGAGGATTTTATATGGTATCAAACGCGAGTTCAGGAACGCTCCACTTAACACCAACAACTCTCTGGGAATAGCTAGTCACATTTTTAAAAATACCGTTAACAATCATCTACCGTCTGACTATTTCGTTATGGACCATGAACCCATATGGGAACCTGTTCGTGAGCGAAAAATGGAATTATAGGTATTTTGTCACTGGCATGACCTCCGCGTCCCCAGAACAAGGTCAACGGATCTTGTTATAGGACCACAAGCTAATGATGCAAGCGTATTACATAGACTACAGCGAGAAGTTATGCAGATGGAGCATAGGCTTTACAGGTTCCACGAGATCCAGGCCGCAAAAAAATGGTATTGGAAAACAATTTGATGTTCAGCACATTTTAGCAGATCCAATGCTTATATCCGACCCGGACCTATCTGACTTTACTGAATCAAGTGACGATAACTTTCAAAGGTACATACCCCATTGTCTAATGCATGATGGCGTTTCCAAGTATTGTATGGGATATAACTGATAACAAGGGATGTAGTCCAATGTTCATCAGGGTAGCGATAAAACTATATTCATTATAATCTCTACTCAAACAAATTGCTTACCATATTTGGATATTAATCATGCCTGTTAAACAGTCGTAACTAATTGTAACGCAACAGTAACATATCTCTAACTGGTTGTAACCCATTGTGTATTGTTCGTTCTTCATTTTTGTTGCATTGTAAAACTTCATTTTAACGTTATAAATTAGTTCTCCAAGGAATCATTTTCTTATGCGCACCTATTACCAACATGTGGTCGTGACCTAGTTTGACCATAATTCAATTAATCTAAAAACTTGTAATACCAATTGATGTGCCAGTGATACATCATGTCAATGGTGTGCTAAATTCGTCAAGCGATGCAAAACAAATGGTCTAAATGATAATGTTTTTATAAAAATAGCCCAATGATAATTCGAATTTTGCATCGTAATAAAATCAAGACAATTTATACTTTAGATTGTGCTATCTTATACAACGTACCTTTGGCGGTGCGATCTATGCCAATAAATATGTTATTAAGGTATGCAATTGAATGTAATAGAATGGTATACATATCACGACAGTCATTCAACTGTTATGGTCGATTTAGTGAAAAATATCCGATCACAAAAAACACGTTCAATTCTATTATAAAATTGTTACTTCAATTTTCTACCAACTTTATAATTTCCTAACAATTTTATACAATCCAATACAAACTATTGATAACTACTAACACTAGATGCGATTACAATTGTAATCCACTTGTCTAAATTTGAAAAGAGCGAAACATCAATGATGCCTGTACAATCTCGTCAATAAGTTTAACAGGTTATTAACTGCTTGTAACGTACATATGTAGCATTCCCAAGTTGCGACAACCACTTAATGTCTCATTCAAAAAGTACAGTTACACATCATTCATCAACCTCATTCTCGGGGGAGGCGACGTCAACGCGTAGTTGCAATCCTTGGATGTTATTTCTTCCCTGAAATGCATAATGATGGCAAATCAGCAAATATTATTAATGAAACATACGATTAATGATATACAATGTCCAAGTCTCCAATTAACAATATTACATAAATATGTGCTGTAACGATAAAAGTTTGTCACCTGGGGTGATGGTGCAAATACATGATATGCATCAACATCACAGTGTGTTGAAATTGTCACATGCTCCTCCTACATTACATAGTATAAGCAATCGACTGTCAACAAATCATTACCAGTGCCTATATTGCTCACTTATAAAGTTAAATTGGACTAGACATTATAACAAAAATGATATATCAGACCATTAAGACATCTTTGACGGAGTTATGCTTGGAAAAAATAAAAAATCTGGGATGCATCCATTCTGTAGGGACACTTGCAGGAGGCTCCTGATTAGCCAAATGGTGGACCTTTGAATAATAAAAAATAATATATTATTAAAGCGAGTATACGTTAACTACATAATTTGCATGATTTGATAGCGTTCGGGTGCCCACCATTACAATTAAAGAAAAAAAGGTAGCTCTACTACACGAACAAGAAAGTCTTTATTTTAACTACTAAATGTATGCATACCGTTTCACTTTCATCGATATTGGGAGCAACAGCGTTTGGAGGGCCATTCATTGTCTGACTCATTGAATGCGTCTACGAGTTTTGTATAGGCCAAATCATTGTATAAGACAAACAAAATAGGTATATCATGACGAATGACGACCGTAACAACATTATCACACAATGTAACATCAATGTAACTATTTATGCTGTTAGAAATATCCAAATAAAAGAAAGAGTCATTTCCATTTTATACTAACCGAAACAGAGTCAGTAGATGAACGGCATCCCATAAACATGTATTCCTCAAATGAAACCGATGTCAGATCCAATTCTGAGACCTACAGCATTGACACGGCAATAATATTATTTCATAATGAATGGTACTTAAACTTTAGTTAATAATATAACGATAACTTAGTTTTAATAAAAATGTTCCCCAAGTACCAAAATTTGATCCATACCGTAGTCTGTGTACTCCTTGATAATCTAGATTTTCTTTTTACTCTGTCAAATTTATCGACCCAACTTCGCATCACTCTATTTTTCTTCTCACCGCTTAGTTTTTTAATGCCTCTTGCGACTACTGCCTCCCCCATTTCATTTACATTTCAATTTTATTCCGTTCCTCCATATTCAGATTTTTTTTTGATTTTGCAAAGGTTGCTCTTCGCTTTCTGAGATGAGGAACTCAACTCTCTTTGCCAAATTGGATATGACAGCGATTGCTACTTTGCTGGTGTCCTCCGACATTACTGCTCAAGTTATTACCTTAATCATGGCTGGAGCGAGTTCCCGAAAACGAGTTGAAATCATTACTTTAGAATCAGCCACAACTTCTCGTTCTCATCGATCAAAACAGTATCCAGTCCGAGCTCTTTTTGCCCATCGCCTCTTAACGTATTCAGGAGGAATTATTTTTATGCCCACGGTATCAAACACCTTCAATGCGTGCCCACATAAAATGCCTTCATTCTCGTATTTTTTGTAACTACAACGTACACTTAGATCATTCCGGTTGAATACCACTATTCTTTCAAGTCCTTCATCATACCTCATGACCACAAACTCCACAATCATCGCTGCATCTTTTTGTCTCAATATAACCATAGCTGTTCACTCGCCATATTCATTTTGGAATGTAACAAATATGGTTGGTGAATACGTCTCTGATGCATGTACAAGTATAGGTGTTTGCCTTAACCCTACCATGGGGAGTTTTTGCCTCATTTCATATTCTGCGATCAGTTTATTATGTTTCTTTTTATCAACCACCCGATTGAAATGTCTAAAGAACTGCACAAGGTCATGATCCAGTTTCAAATGATTTTTAATTGCTGCATTCAGGCTTTCGCTAAGTTAGGTGCTTCGCATTCTCGCGGTCCATCTTTCTTTCATCATGCACGTTGCCCATTTATCACGAATTCTATACAACCCGGAGAGCTATTCATTAGTTTCAAAATTGTATTTCTTCACAATCGCCTCCCACACCCTATTGAATTGTTCCACTTCTTCAAATTCATACATGCAGGCACCAAACATTTATGAAAGGTCACTATTTTCCTTGTAGTGATTGCCAAGATATTTCATAAAATTACGCCTTATGTGAAAGTACATAAACCGTGAAATATTTCAGGCATGACAACTGAAAGAGCGGTTGCCATGGCGTGATCTTGATCGGTTAGTATAGTACTTAGACGCTTTCCGCACATTGCTTCTATAAATGTACCAAACACCCATTTGAAAGAATCTATAGTCTCATCATACATAAGGACAGCACCGACTATCACAATTTGCCTATATTGGTTAAAACTCACAAACACTCCAAGTGGCCGGTATTCTTTATTTGTTTTGTAGGTTGTGTCAAATGTAACTACGTCTCCAAAAAAGTTGTAGTCAATTAACATTTCTGCATCAACTCAAAAGATATTCGTTATCTGTTCTTCATAGTCCAGCTGTGCGGCATGAAAAAATGATGGATTCTCGAGTGTTTGCTCTTGAAAATAATTCAGCATGCTACCTGCTTCTCTATATTTTAAACTTCTTTCCCGTCGAGTACGAAGATATCGTTTCAGGTCTTCCCGAGTATATCCCACATTTCCCATCCCACCTGCATCCTTTCCCATAAACTCATGGCTCTGTTTCAATGAAAACCCAGCGTCCTCACTTATTTCAGTTTGGAATCCTTGAGTCTCACTCACTTTTCTTTGTGATGGCATCATGTGCGAACATTGAGTAATGTGCAACTCATGGTTATGCTCTAAGACAAGGTCATGCACATGGTACTTCATTGTCTCTCTAAACAACACGATAACCATTTTAACACCACACCCTGTTTTCGTCGGCGCTCGTGTCCTCTTTGGCATCACATCACCTTCATACTTGCGCTTTACACCTTCCTTGCAGCAACTATATCTCCTAGACATGGTCACGCCATCTTTATTTTTATTTAGATAGTTTTTACGTACACTAAAACCCATTTTAAAGGCATACTTGTTGTAAAACTTGTACGCATCCTCTTCACTGTTGAACTCCATTCCTAACTCAGGGGTCTGATTTTCTGTCAATTTGCTGCAATCCATTATTTCTACTCATGCCAATTATGCATCAAACACCCTAATTTGTAATAATTCATGAATAGTATGTATATATACGACAATATAAATGTATATTACCATTCATAATGTGTTATGAATCATACATTATTCGTATACCAAATTATATTATTACGCTTATCAATAAGATTAATGATTCACATCATCTTACTTTTACTCTAAGACAACAGCATTATCTATGTACAAATACAGCTTCATGTACACTAAGTTATACGGACTGTAATGTATTGGTCACACGATGTAAGTCTATTTTAACTATATGTACATCCACGCTGGTGATTACATTTTGATTCTAGGTTCTTTAACTCACTGGATCTTATGTCATTCGTTAATGACAACCGCATAAACTAACTCCGCATTTTCTACTATTTCTACATTTTGAGGGCCAAACAACCACTTTTTACTCATTGTAATATATTTTTTACATCATGTAATTTACTTACAACACAAGATTCATCCATTTATTTTTCACATATATGTCTTTTCCTCTACTTCATCTCATTCAACTCTACGCCTCTATTTTATACACACTGCATGGTCAGGAGAGGGGCAAACTAATATTGCTCCATGAGCATGGACCAACTACTACATGCACAATGATTCATATCAATTGTAATACGGTGACTATAACATGTAACTAATTTACAACAGGATGGACATTAATTCACTTGTTAAATGTGACTTTGTTTCTCTCATCTTTCTCTTATTCCGTTCGACAGTTTACTTGAATACATACCCCTAGGTCTTCCAATAACTACTATCCCATTATAGTCCATCACTGAAAAATTGAATGCTCGCACATACACAGATATGGTACACACACACAAATACAGTACAACTTCACTATTCTTCTATCATCTTCATATTATGTCTTCAGTGACTCTAATTTCATCATTCATTTAACACATGTGTATTTGGGTAACAAATTATTGGCCACAGTTACTGACATGGTTCACTCACGTTACCTTGGTCTGCTAATACGCTTTACATTTCATCGAAGTCGGAGAGCATAGCTGATTCTGCTATTAAGTTGAAGGACAAAATTTGGCTTCGTGAGATGCTCAATTTTCTCTGTTTGCTTCTACCTTACCGCCTACCTTGGTTGCATTCAAACTGGATACAACTATTCAGTTTTACGGACAAACTCTGGTTTTGTCTCTGTTTGCTTCTACCTTGCCGCCTGTCTCTCCACTAGTTTTCTGTCAATTGCTATCTTCATCAGAGTAGACTACACCCACTTCACTTAGAAACACCCAGTAGGTCGAATCCCACCAAACTTCAGCTTTCTACCTTCAGTGTCGAATCCCACCCGAACTTCAGCTTTCTACCTTCAGTGAGCAGTCGGTCAGAGTAGACTACCTTCAGAAGCACGCCAAGACTCTTCCCTCAGTTTTGTTTTCTGTGGCTAATTCAAATTTCAACTTGAATTTCAAAATCTACTTCTCTTCCATTTGCTCCGTCTGCTCCCGTTTGGAAGTCAATATTTTTTTAATTTGGAACGGCGTCATTCTTTACCCTGCTTCAGCCTTGCTGACTTGGCTCATTTATCTCCTCACGTTTTTTATTGTGAGGACACCATTCAGGAGCGGTCGGCCTGACAACCGCTCCTGCCCCGTATCCCTGGCGACAATAGGCATAGTATATGGTTGGCCTTTTCGGCCAACCAATGGGAGGAATGGTTGCCAGAAAGTTTGGTGACCATGGTCAAACAAATGGTTGGCCTTTTTGGCCAACCATGGGTCCAATCCGAGAAGGGAAAAAAAGGGACAAATTAAATGTAGATCAAAATATAATATAAAATGTAGTAAATGGTTAATAAATAAATTTTAAATATAATTTATAATGTATCATGAGTATTAAAATTCAGGACCCAATCTAAAGTGGTTGTTAGAATTGAAGGGTTAGTTATTTAAAATTATACTTAATTGATTACGTCTAAGATACTTAAATGGGAATCTAAAACATCTTAATCTAGTCTTATTAAGTCAATTTAGACCATATAAGGTAAGTTCTAAATTGTTAAACTAGATGCTTAAAATCATGATAATAACAATACTAATAATAACAATAATAATAATAATAATAGTAAATAATAGCTAATAAAACAATGGTAGTAGGAATAATAATAATATAGACATGGAGGAAATAAATTAAGGATATCAATGTAAATATAAATATAAATACGAGCGGAATAAACTAAGACAATAACTATAATGAGTCAATATATGTACATGTATACATAAATAATAATAATAATAATACTTACACACGCTTAAAACTAGAAATAAAGTGAAAGGTAATAGTAACTAATTAACAAATAGATATATAAATGGTAATAAAATAAAGTAGCGACGACGAGAACGATAATAATAATAATAATGAATAATGAATAATTATAAATATGTATAGTAAGACAATACTCAAGATAATAAACGGGATTATGAATAATTATTCTCTTTTAAATTATGAAACTTTACAACTTGAGAACCGTCCAAATTAAGAAACTTTCCAAAAGTGAAAACTTTCTAAAAATAGAAACCTTCCAAATTAGGAAACTTTTCAAAAATAAAAATCATCTAATTTAGGGAGAATACTGTTAGGGTTCATATAATGGTCTAGACATGAATCTTTGACCTACTCAGAATTTGTATATCTATGCATTTATGGGAAATAACGACTAATTAGGAAACCTACGCATTTGATAGGTACAACACAAGTTTAAAAGACCTAAAGTAGCCCTACTCGAGTAGCCAAACAGAGGTAGGTGGTACTTACCCTTCTGAGATTTTCAGATGTGCAAAAATAAAGTTTTTGTTTTCAATCCTATTTGGTTGTATTGACTCGAAGTGTATTTGATTAAATGCTTTATTTGGATAATTATGAAAGCTACATTTTTACTATACCAAAATGGACCATGTGACCTATTTGAATCGTTTTGATATGTTATTATAAAATGTATTTGATTAAAGGTTTAACTTGGATATTTATGAAAGTTATATTTTTACCATACCAAAATGGACCATGTGACTTATTTGAAATGTTTTGATGTGTTATTCTATACCAATGAGCTGAGTCTTTTATGAAAGCAAAGGTTTGTGTATATGACATATGAAATGAATTTTTGACAAGTAAAACTCAAAACAGTCATGGAATAGACGGTAGGGGTTATAGTCCTGTCTAACCACCATGGTAGCCATGATAACCTGGTATAAAGTCCGGCCGATTGGCGAGACCATGGTAGCCTGGTATAAAGTCCGGTTGATTGGCAAGGTCATGATAGCCTGGTATAAAGTCCGGCCGATTGACCGATTAACAAAGTCATGGTAGTCTAGTATAAAGTCTGGTCGATTGACAAGGTTATGGTAGTCTGGTATAAAGTCCGGCCAATTGACCCATGAATGAAACGAGACCAATCGATAGTCGCGAAATCTATTGGTCGCCCACCTAGAAGGGATTTAATCTCTAGGCTGATCTGAAATGAGGCTTATGAACCGATATGAAATGATTTAAGAATGGATATGAAGAGACTTGTGAATTGAGACGAAAGGATCTACGGCTTTATGATTTTCCATGTTCATTTATCAACAAGATGCTTTTAAATCACTTGCCACTTGTTACTACTGATTGTTTTATAAATGTCGTTACTTTCAAAATTATAGAGGTGATTTATGTGCAAATGATTTGATATGTATTTATAAAGTTACGAGTACATGGTCCAACAGAGGGGTAGATATTACCTACTAGGCGACTTGTCGCTCAACCCACTAGTTACCATTTTACAGATTTTGAAGAGTATGAGTTGATTTACATAGAAGATCCTGAGAATGACTTTTATTAGTTTTAAGTGAGTAGAAGTTAGCAAGTTAGCTACTTCCAGTTGTTAGTTTTATTTACTTTTGTTTCCGCTGTTTCAACTAGAGAATAAATGTACAAATTTTCTAGATATTCGTAGGCTATCCTTCATATGAGATTTGTACCGCACTTTGTTTAGTTATATTATTTATTACTTTTAAAGTTTAGTACAGTATGATGTTGTCTTGTATTCTTGAGCGGAACTTGAGAATACGATGGATGCCACGTGGCTGGCGTGTGCGGGCTCGGGGCGTGACATATACATATATATTTGTTTGTGTATATGAATTAGCTAACTTTGATTTAATTTTTTCTTCAAAAAAAGTTATTTATTTTTTATTGTGCTAATTATTTAACATTCAAAAATTAAACATATAATTTAATAATCCATAGTAAATTGACCCAATTTGATATATTATAATAAAAGACTCAATTCATAATTATCAATGGGCTAAAACAAAAATAATTACTTTATTAGTCCGTATACAAATATACAACTTAGCTTAATTGATAAAAAATTTAAAATTAGTGATCTATACTCTTGTTGACCCATATACAAATGTACAAATAATTACTTGAAGGCTTTGTGAAGACAAGAAATTGAATGATCTATCCTGTTTTTGATATATTGATTACATTTGTTCTCACTCTTCCTATGTCAACTACAACTATAGAATAGATATTTTGAATTATGAATATAATCAAAACAAAGATCCAAAATAAGACAAAAGAGAATTTCTTGAATGATTATCTAACAATGTACATAAAAAAAGGAAGTTATTCAAAAATTTAGTATTGATTCAATTATAGATGAATTTAGTTCTATGAAAGTGTGAGGCCCCAGTCCGTTCTTAAGTTGATATTAGGTTATATTTATTATTTGTGCGGTAACATTTGGTTTTGGGAATACTTCGAAAACCCTAAGTTGGGATTAGGATTGAAACTCTAGTTTTTGTATTAATTATAAGTTCGAGTGGTGATTAAAGTTAGTTATGTTAGTGTGTGTTTTAATATAGGTAAGTATAGGATTTGATCCATTTTATATAGGTTAAGTGAGTTTAAAATTTAGAAAACCCTAAGCTAGCAGAACCTTTAGTGTTATGATATATTAGAAG